GAGCCAATATAATAAATACATTAAAGTGGATCAATAAAACCTTGTTCATAAAAAAAAAAAAAAAGGGGGGGGGCACAAAAAATTATAAAAGTTGTGATAGAAGAAAACTGAATAGTGACCTCAACCCAGCAGTGTGGGGATGCACTCTGCTTCCCAGGGCAAAGCAGAAGCAGCAACTTTCAGTTGCTGCTCCAGTTTAATGGTTTCAAACATGGGGCTGCCAGCAGCAGCCACTTTTTTTTTTTTTTGCCACCCCACAAGTCAGCTTCCAGAATGGTTGGTCCTATTGTCTCCACCTCCAGTTACACCACTACCTCAACCACAGATTTAAGTGCCAATCTACATTGGCTTCTGCCTGATTTCAGACTAACACAGCTAACTATCTCTGTCAACTAAGTTGTCTTGCCTGCTATGTGAAAATGTTCTGATTTATTTGCTACTTGGGAATGACAACATTTCACTTTGAAGGGTATCTGTTTGAATAGTATCTACCAAATTTTGAATTGTTCTGTTTGCACAGTGGCTAAGTAACGTACTGGAGGCAGAGAGTAAGGCAAAGAAGGGAGGAGAAGTAGTAGGAGATGAGAAGGAAAATAAGATAAAGATATATTCCTCTCTCTCCAAAAACAACTACAAACAAAGGCAGGAAGAAGGATGAAACAAACAGTGGAAAAGATGCTAATGCAGATATGTTTGTTAGGGCTGTGCAAAATTTCTCTATTTCATTTCAAAGTTGTTTCAAGCTCTAAACAGTAAAATTGGGGAAAAAAAACAAACTAAAAGCTTCAAAACAAAATGAGGGCACTCAAAACCACCTCCCGCCGAAACTGCCTCCCACTGCTGGGCTGAGCTCCATGGGGCTGCAGGGCTGCTCAGAGGGCAGCCCAGCGGCAGGAGGTGGGCAATGCCAGGGCTGTGCTCTGCCTCCTGCCACCAGGCTGAGCTCCATGGAGCCGACGCTGGGTGTGGGCTGTGCCTAGTGCCGGTCCCAGGCAGCAGCCTCCGGTCATCCAGTGCAGATCTGGGGGCCTACACCCCTGGGAGGAGTCTGGACAGTCCCACAGCCCTCCTGAGGTGCCAGCCCCCAGATCTGTGCCTGGATGACAGGAGGCTGCTGCTGCTGCCTGGGGCCAGCAGCAGCATCAGTCTTCTCCGGTATTGGGTGCAGGCTGTGCCCAGTGCTGGTCCCAGGTGGCAACCTCCTGTCATCCGGCACAGATCCGGGGCTCACACCCCTGGGAGGAGTCTGGCACACCCCCACAGCCCTCCCAGGGGTGCGGGCCCCTGGATCTCCGCCACATGACAGGAGGCTGCTGCTGCAAGCAAGTGTCCTGAGTTTTGCTTCTAAGATTTTTGAGGTTCAGTTTCTGAGAAACCTCTGCTTGTATTTCCTTGAAACTTGGCAGGCTTCATGCCCTCAGAAGGGGTGAACATACCTGCAATTTTTACCTAAATCAGGCGACAAATGATAAAGTTTTAAGTATTTTCATGATTCCCCATTATAGCCCATGGGCAAAACTTCAAAATGCATCAAAACAGCAGAACAGTTTTGACAAAATGGTATGGGACAGTGCTTCAAAATGAAGTGATAAAATGAAACACTGTCCCTCTGAAATGGCAAAACAGATATCAAAATGAAATGATGGTGTTTTACACAGCCCTAATGTTTTGTCTCTGTGGTATCAGTGAAATGCAGTAAACTGAAATCAAAGGTCCCACAGGACTGAAATGTTTCAAAAAAACCTTTGCATTCATTTGTGCATTCAGACCAGAAATGTAAGCAAACCTCAACCTGCCATTAGTACTAAAAATGTACTTGGGGACTTCTAAAATTGGAACAATTTTCTTCAAGCTTTAGAAATGCAAAGAATTGTTCCTTGGATTTTACTCAGGATTTCCATATACTTCTAAAAATAATGATGATATTGAATATTTGCATGATGCTCCAAAGAGCATAAACAAATCCTAAGCTTTGCAGAACCTCTCTGAGATGAGACAATGGAATTGATCCCAGTTTATTTAAAGAGGCACCTGATTTGTGAGCCACTGCTATGGTAGTGCTAAGGGACCTTTACTTTTACAATGTAAAAGGACCTTACAGTAATTTTTCACTTGTTTTAAGATTCTTACTCTACTACTGTCATACAAAGTAGGACTCAAACTGGCCGACTTCTTCAAAGTTATGGAAGAATTTTAAAGTAGAATTAGGAATAGTACTCGAGTTTACTTTCTGTTTATCCAACCTTTCTCTTTTTTTAGATTTTTCCAGTACATCCCACTGAAGATATCAGTATAATTTATGCTGTTTACATGTACACTTACACTCTGCATATTCCCATTTTGTAATCAACTTCTCTTACCATATACCTCATCACTGAATTTATCATTCTGCCTTTTGAACCAGCTCACACCATTTTTAATGTCTGGAAGGGACAATGTTTGTTTACATGGAGGTTAAAATTATTTACTAGGCACTCTGCCAGGAGGCCCTTTCTTCTTTTTTCAGTAATTAAAAATAGTTCAGGACCAGCTTGTGGCTCAACCTTCCTGTCTCCCATATGTTGCACCAGCTACAGACCCAATGCAGTTCGTTTTCTTGCTAAATCAGCAGGGAAACTGAGAGAGGGATTATGAATCAGTCTGTTCCAGGTGCAGAACAGAAGTGTACTTTCCCCATAGCCTGTGCCTATCACAAAGTAATGATAGACGCCTCCTCTATAAAGTTTTAAAAAAAGTTGCTGTGTATATGCAGTAACCTTCTCCCAAATAATTTATTTGAAGAACATCTACATTCATTTTGTGTCGCCAGATGTTAGACAAATATGAACTAATACAGAATAGAAAAGGTCTCTTGGTTTGTTTTTTTTTTTTGTCTGATGGATGCACCAGTTTGGGGGTGGGGGGTTGTCATTGTAGAGAGAAATAATTCTTTTTAAAAAATAAACTTAAAACATGCTTGACTGTATTAGTCCAGACTGGTATGTAAATCTTGTTCCATGTTGTTTCAATATTTCTTTTTCTGATGCATCATATTATACACTGGCTTCTAGATTTCTTTCTTCCAAGTTTGATTTATGCAAGTACAAGCCACATTACTTTGTCCTATAAATGAGCCAGCATTGAAATCTTGAACCCAAACCCCAATCCCTTGGCTCAAATCTGTTTTTAGACTGGTAAACAAATGTGTTCTTGTAGCAGTATAATATATCATTCAAATAACGGAAAAAGAAAGTCTTTGTACAGCTGAAACCAAAATATTGTATGCTAGATTCCAGCACAGAGAATTGTTTTTCTTGCTTTGAAAACAAGATTTTTAAATATAAGAATTGACACAGTAGCCTGATTTAGTAGTGTTGTGAATCACAGAGCTTGGTTTTGCTCTGAAATGTGACTGTAAATTGGTGTTGTGGTAGTCTCTTCATCACCCAGAGATTTCATGTCACTTTCTCTGCTTACAAGTGAAGGGATAGTTTTATTCTTAAAAAGGTTGGTTGCAGAATCAGCAGTAAAAAAAACTAAGTGACGTCTGGTTTCATAAGAGACGGTAAAAAAAAAAAAATGCTGGAATCCAAATTAATGCACCCTGTTACACCTGTGCTACTCCCTTGTCTCCAAATTATTGCCCCACTTGCACCTTTGCAAACCCCAGCAAAGGTACTTGCTCAAACTTGTTTGTGTCTCACAGAGCAGCTTGAGTTTCTGTAGTTGATAATCACAATATAACTTGATTGTGTAAACAATTAACATTTAATATGGATTATGCGAGAGACAAATGTTGACCTCCACAATGTCTTGTTTTCAACTACTGCACTTAGTCTAAATAGCAGAAAACCAAACACTCTTCTTGTGTGGTTGAACATGAAGGAAGTGTTTTTAGGGAAATCCATATTTTCTAAAGCTGTAACTCTATACACCAAAGAGCCAAAATATTGTCATCATTGTGACAATTCAAAATTACAAATTAGTACTTGTTTTCCAGGCTTTGCTGAGCTTGAAAAGTGTGAAGGAAATTCTAGGTTTGATTTTGGCTTTTGGAAACTATATGAATGGTGGGAACAGGACACGAGGTCAAGCAGATGGATTTGGTCTGGAAATTCTTCCCAAACTAAAGGATGTTAAAAGCAGAGTAAGTACTTGTTTTTGCTTACGGGGACATTTGTAAAGAGATTTTTGTATACTTCATCATTAGTTCCTCTTCTCCACTCCTTGCCAGGAGTGCCTTTCTCTGTCTTTCCTCCTCGTGCCTTTCTCTGTCTTTCCTCCTCGTGCCTTTCTCTGTCTTTCCTCCTCGTGCCTTTCTCTGTCTTTCCTCCTCGTGCCTTTCTCTGTCTTTCCTCCTCGTGCCTTTCTCTGTCTTTCCTCCTCGTGCCTTTCTCTGTCTTTCCTCCTCGTGCCTTTCTCTGTCTTTCCTCCTCGTGCCTTTCTCTGTCTTTCCTCCTCGTGCCTTTCTCTGTCTTTCCTCCTCGTGCCTTTCTCTGTCTTTCCTCCTCGTGCCTTTCTCTGATTCTAACAGCAGGACATTGTGTATGTGTTACTCTCTGACTTTCATAATTCTCCTCAATGTTGTTTCCCCGGCTGCTGCTCCTACAGCGTGGTCAGAAAAGATTGTGCAGCCACAGCACTGCACTCCTGTGGATCTGCCACTGCTGAAAAGTTCAGCTAAGGGCTCAACAAAAAAACATGTATTGATTTGAATTCATGAGCATAGGCCAAGTAGTATATAGTAAGGCTTCTTTATTTAAAATTGATAAATAGCACACCTACATCAAATAGCAAGAGGTATGGTTTTGTTCTCAAAACCTCCAAAATCTCTAGCAGGTCTTTGGTATTTGAGTCAGATTCATAGTCTGGATATTAGTAGTAGGCAACCATCAATCATCTGGATCATGGTGTATGCGTAAGAGGTCTAGTCAGGTGCCTGATGAATCCACTAGTACAGAGTCCTGCAACCATCACACCAAGACCTTCAATGCTTATGTCTAGGCATGAGTATGGAGAAATGCAGGCTGCCCAAGACCTATCATGCCCCCTTTAGACCACTGAGACAGAATCCAAAGGCCAGACTGAGTCCAGAGGTTCAGTGCCTCAATGGCTGTAGCTTCTGCCGAAGAGCAACAGATAAGAATTGCTGCTGACTGGCTAACACCTCAGCGAGGGCGTGTTTCTGTCAGGGTGATGTCCCTTAGCATTCCTTCAGCCAAGGAGTACCCACAAGTTAGTGAGAGCTAGGGTTTTGAGGCACCGTATACTTGTCTTACTCTGAAGGTTGGAACATTCTATTTTATAGAAGCTATCTCACCACAAGTACCCTAGCACATTGCCATGAGGCCCTCCAGTCATACCCAGTCTGGATATGAAATGTGTATATATAATATGTCTTAAGGTCAGGTTTGCAATCAACCACCACATCTCCTAGATGTTTGATGGGACCAATGGTGCAAAGACGATCTTTGAAGTCCTCAAAGCAGAAGGGAAAATAAGTCAGGCTTGAGTGCAGTACAACCCAATCCAACCAGAATGCATATGAGATCATTCCACGGCAGGAAGGAAAAGAAACATTGTTTCCTCTTTCTGTCACTATTGCCTGGTCTTTGGATGCAAAAGGAAGTGAAAACTTCAGTGTTTGCAGCAGCATTTCTGCTGAGATTGGTGTTCTGCACTGTGACAGAGGCATAGTTTGAAATGCATTTTCCAGATGCTGCTAGACTAATCAATTGCCAGTTTTGAGGATTAAAATGGAATTTTTTCCCACAAGATAAGACTGGCAATATGTCTGGGATTTTTTTTGTATTGTTTTTGTCTGTCTTCCTGGGAACATCCTGAATGCCCTGCTTTTGCTTAATGAGAAGCAAGAATAAATTGTGAGTTTCTCACTTCATCACAAGTTTGTGGCCAATATTCGGATGAGGTCTAAATCTCTAAAGGACTAGTCGACAGATACAAGCACCCTTGGTGTCTCATGTACACACCATGGGTTTTAATCATCATTAAATTAAATAGGTTTATAAAATCCATGGACGTGACACTTTAATTCCTGGCAAGCCAAAATAAACTATGTCTGAGGAGTTTTAGTTTAATGCACAAGAGACTTTTAAAGCATCAGGAAATCCTGCTCATGCAAACAGACATGCAATTGCAGCTTGTGAAAGGGCAAAAATCATGGTATGTATATGAGCCGTAAGACTTTACTTCCTCCAGGCTAACAGAGTATACCAGTTAAGACCTTGAGGTACCTTTTTGTGCACAAATGAGAGTATCCTCTTGTGTACTTTTTATGCTCACCTGTGACAGGAGAACAACAGGATTTACACGTTGTCTGAATCCTAGGGGTTAGGCTAAATGGGACCAACCTTGAACTTTGGTTATCTGGTCTGTAGGGAGCATGTAAAATTATAGTGTACCTCAGGAAGGTAACAAGAATGAGAAACCCAGCAGTTAAAATACACCTGTGTGTGTGCTCCATTCTCCTGTTCTCCAGATTTGCTGGTCTTGATGAAATAAAATTTGAGAGATTTGATGTGAGGATATGTATAGACTAGAATGGCAGTAATGATTTACTTCACAAAAGTGATCACAATAACACATGACCTCAATTTTATGTCTGTCATGCAACCTACCACCATAGTATTTTATATTAATGTTATATAAGCAGGATTGTTTATCCTGCCTGAAGACTAGTGACTTCTTTAGTTAACAATTTTTCTGCTGTATGATATTATTAAAATATAATGTGGTGCAGACTCAAATATAAACAGGACATCTCTGTGCAGGAAATCGTACATTGTGCATATCTGAACCTTTATACTAATAGCTGTCAATACACTATATAAAAACACAAAAGAAAGTCATCAAAGACATTCCATATATAATGCCCTACATTGTCTTTCTTTTGCACAGTTTAATAATTTCCTGAAACTTATGATTCCATACCTGAAATGCTGTTTTTACCCATTTCCCCAGAACAGCTGGGTTATGTTGACTCAATAACACATGAGAAAATAAAGCACTGTCACGTACCATGCTAGTATGCGATGCAGGACTAAGAAAGCAGTGTTTTCCTTGAGTGAAAATTTGTCACATTGTGGAAGGATGTGTTCATGAACCAACATGGAACAGTATATGCAATGGACAAATTTATACTGCATGGCTCTATATTTCATATTACATGGTTAAACATCCTTACTACTTCTTGGCCCATGTTATATTGAAAATGAGACTAAATGAAATTAATAGGTACTTCTGGCCTTGAAATGGATTAATTATGTTTTCTAGACAATTCTAGTGTTCTTCATATAATTACTTGAGTTATTAGTATTTGTTACAGCTGGCAAATTTTGTCCCTGTGGGACCCAAATAATTCCCAGTGCTGTTGATAGAAATTACTGATATTCTGTCATACAAATATCAGGACCTGCTGATGATTAAGTAGCTGGCTTTTTGTGGGCAGTGACTTTGACTAACATGCCCTGGGTCCTGTTCCAGATGACCATATAAATAATAATAACAGAGTAGATTCCCTTTTAAACATTTCTTTTGAAACTGCACTTACCACATTTTTGCCTCTTTTTTTCAGTCCCAATTTAACTTCTATATTAACATGTTTAATTTCTTCCTAGGATAATGAAATTAACCTTGTGGATTATGTTGTCCTATATTACCTGCGGCACTGTGATAAGGTAAATTATTCATTTGGTGCGTTGACTACTGTGCTGCTACACTGCTTAAATATAAAGTACTTGAATGTACCTTTGTAGACTAGATAAAGTAGTGCCCAGAGTTAAAATAAGGTTTTTAAAAAACAAAGCTAAATATAGAATATGGACAGATTTATATTTCTAGATTTATATTTGCACATGACTACAGGGCACTACAGAGCACATTCCTTAAACACTCTAAGAAACTTGTCCTAAAATCTGGGCAGTATGAACAGTCCACCCCTACTTAATATGTAATAGGCAACAAATATTCATTATGCTATATGGGTGGATGAGGGAGGGGGGTCCTGTGGAAAGTTACAGGATTTGTCTGGCAGCCTCGTTAGAATGGTCAATTTCAGTCTTTGTCATTGGAAACTGCCTGCCAGGACACCTGCCATCATTTAACAGTAGGAACCAGCTGGGTTTTTTTTTAAATAGGGTGTCCCTGCCTGATCTCAGACAGAATGACAGGAACACTGATTAAGTTCTAACTCCAATCAGGTTTCAGCTTCTCCAAAAATATCTAAAATGTAACATATATTTTGTACTACAATGTGGGAAACCAAATGCTGCATTTTCAGTGTGACTTTGCTGGGAGGTGAAAGCAATGGTAACCAGGATATCTCTGATGCCTGAATGTAGTAGAAGGTTGCTGTTTTCAGGCATGTTAGCTGAGAGAGAGCTGTTTCAATTAGGGACTGTGAAAGAAGAGGTGCTGTTGCACTAAATAACCTGTTTTGTCAGGTAAGGTACTGTGTACCATTATGTATATTGAAGGATTCCAAAGCTTTGGACCAGAATAAAAAATATATATCTTTTTGGTATTAGAAATGTGCCTATACCTGACCATTGGATTTTGATACTGAATGGGTGCATCTACACATGTGCTTTACTGTGGAGCAGACTAATTAGCTCCACAGTGAAGTGTCACTGCCTACACATGCACAGATATTAAGGCGCAGTAAAATAATTAATTCTGCTATAAGATAGTACTGTGGGGGATTTTTATTGTGCTATAAAAGATCTTCTCTGAGAAAAGGTAGTTATGTAAATTGCATCTTTCAACTTGAGTTTGTTTCTAAAGCTTTTTATCTGTATTATATAGCTCTGTGTGTTCTGAATGTTCACAAATGAATCATACTTATCCCTCCAAGTAACTTTTCCTTAAAGACTGAATCAAGAAACAGAAAATATTTAAGGCTCAGGTGGTATATCCTCATAAATGCCATGCCATTAAAAATACCATTTACACAATGCTTTTGAATTGTTGAGTTTTCCTCTGGTAAGTGGCTTTGAATCATCTGTTTTTTCTTCTAATACTTTTTTAGTATTTTGTCATCACAGATATGAGGTACATGCAGAGCTCCATATATAAGCAATAAACCCTGTGATTTATTTCTCTACATAAACCCACAACTATGTACTTTTATTTGTTCAAAATATATACATTAACCAGGGTTTAAATACTGATGGCAATTTATAAAATATGTATTCATAATAAATTGGAAAAGAACACAGCCACAAACAGGTGGCATAAGATCACTTGTTATATTAAAATGGACTATTTTAATGATTGTCTGTTTAAAAAACATATAATCTTTTATCTAAACCCTTATTATAAAATGAATAGTGAGCTTAGTGTTGCCTGATAGTTTAGGTTGTCTATCCTCCATTACAATTTGCAGCGTATTGTAATATAGTAACAGTATAAACTAAAATAAGATTGTTGTCCAGCTGGTATCCTGCTGGAAAGGAAGGATGAAGTTCTGGCTTCACTGAAGTTAATATCATTAGTCCTTTGACCTCACTAAATTAATGGATTTCACCTAAAATATGCATCTCAAAGTTGTGCCTGGAAGTAACTATTTTAACTGTAATATTTCTGCAGTTTTATTATACTAATTCATAGTTAAAATTTTGAGAGCAGAAACTTGTTTCATTGCAAATGTATTTCATTTACATAGTAAATTTATTCATGTATTTAGGAAGCTGGAACAGACAAGAGCATTTTTCCTCTACCAGAACCACAGGATTTTTTCCAGGCCTCCCAAGTTAAGTTTGAAGACCTAATAAAAGACTTAAGGAAACTGAAGAGAGATCTGGAAGGTAACTGTGAACTTTTATCTTATTATCCTAACAATTGAGTGCCATTTAAAAATGACCTTTATGAACTTTGTTTATTACTAATTAGGATTATAGTGTTAATAGATCCAGTTGTATTTACAGGCTGGCAAAAATTGCAGATCTAAAATACAATTATATCATTATTTTTAATGAAAGTAAAAATAATTTTCTGCAATCCACTTTAAATTCAAAAAGCTCCAAAAGAAATCTCTTAGAAATTTCCTGTTATATGAGAATTTTTCCCCAACCTTCTCCAGGATTTTGTTTTAATTTTAGGTTTCTTGTCATCCAATAACATAAATACTTTCTTCAGGACTTGTGTAAAAACAACTTAACCACTACAAAAAAAAAAAAGCTACAGCAAGTGATGACTGAATATTTTAGGCTTTTCATTTTTTTAGAAACAAGTAATACCAAGGCTGTTCTGGATGAAAAAGGAGAATTTGAACAAAGACTATAAAAACTATTCCACTTAAACTTAAACAATACGTTAACATTTTTTTTCAAATGAAACAATATTTGTAGAATCAGAGTTGAACAGGGAGGCTGTATTTTTATTTTGTGATGTAAAGCAATGAAAACTATCACAAAATAATTTATTTTTCCAGTTTGAAGTGGCTGAATTAGGTCACAGCCACCTTAAGGAGAGGTTTCAAAGGTCAACAGTGGTAGGAAAGTATCAGTTGTTGTTTATTCAACCCGGGCATGCCCAAGTGCTCTATCTCCTCTCGTCGCTTGCCCCTGTAAAACCCTTGGCCTGCCCTCTCTTGTGCTAGTTTGTGCAGAAACATGATCTGTGTTTGATCTTGTACTTTTTCCAGCATGTAGTCCTGCTGCCGTACATTTCAGTTTTGCAGGCTGAGCTACAAGGCTTTGACATTCACATGATTTTAGTGCTAAATTGCAAAGCGTAGAGAGAGAAAATGAGGAGTTTTTTTTTTTAAACTATGCTCTTTGCTTCCTTGTTTTTACAATTACAGATTCATTGTGATCTTTGGTTTCTGGGCTTCAAGGCTGATTCGTCCTTAGGTTTTATAAAAAAAAAAAATGTAAAAGCATATATAGGAAAATTCTAAGTAAAATATTGCATTTCCCTTTATTGCATTCCATTTTAATGATATATTTGAAAGTTGACAAAGTCAAACAACAAATGAGGTTATCGTGACTTGACAATGCACAGGATTTTTATTTATTTATTTATTTTTGTGCATTGGGGAAGACCAGAAGCAAAAAACCCCCCACTGATTATCGTTTGAAATGTCAAATGATAAAAATCATTGGATTATATATGGAGGAATGCTAACAATGTCTCTTGGGGATTTCTATTATATTTAAACAACAAAATGAGCAGCATTACTAAACAAGCTGTGCAAAACATCCTTTTTAATATCTTTGTTCTATTTCTTTCTTTAGATAACACTATTTTGTTGTACATCAAATATTTTAATTGAAGAGTATATCATTTTAACACATACAACAAAAATTTGATGACTCTCTATAGTTTATTGTAGGCATTAAAAAGTTGTGGCTGCTGGCAGAATACCAGTGAAAGTCTAAAGCTGAAACAGATGTGATTAGCAGAAACCAAGTCCAGAGAAGCGTCAGGCCCAGCCATCCAGACAGGCGCGGCCCTTCAGATGTAAATAATTTGAACAATATTAACTGGAGTTGCCTGTGTTATAGGGTACATTAGAGTTATTTTACAGTTAGGTTGGTTAAGGTAGCCAGAACAGTATTCTGTGGAAGTGGGATGAGACAAAGTAATGAATGGGGTGAGGTGTTCTCTCATGTGTCACTGGAGAACAAACTAGTGTTTCTGTTAACAGATCAAACTAGTGCTTCCGTTAATGAATTATCTTACCTAAATCTATTTCTTAGAAATTAAGATAGCACAACAATGAAAAGACATAGGAAATTTAAATGGTTGTCTATCATATCTAAAATGATATTTTCAATGTAAGTAGTTGATTCATAATTAAAGAAGATTCACTTACCATTGAAAACGAATTGTTTGTTCATCTTATTGAGATGATCATTTATCTGGATATCGCATATTTTTAGAAAGAAGAATTGAATGGGCATGGCCCTGGGGCATGTCTTCCTCGTCTGAGCCTCTGGTTTGAAATACCTAGACACCATGGAACCAAGAGTTCAAATCCAGACGGGGGCCACACAGCCTTTCAATCTATTTGAGGCAAACAGATTGAGTTCCATGCAACTTACTGTGCAGAGATCTTTCAGATGGGGATATTAAAGGAACAGCAGTC